AGGATTTTTAGTTAATAGTACAGTTCTCCTTTAGCACTGTGCCCCCCGGGTGCAGTGTTAGCAGTCCGTGGCCGTAGGTCTTCCTGTTTCCTGTACAGAGATCTATGTAAATCGGAGATAAGAGACATCTGCCCTTAGACCCATAATTAACCTCAGCACGCATGGTAGAGCTGGATGCCAGGATATCAATCATATTTACTTAGCTGCGAGACCTCATAAAATCAGAGCAAGGTGCATGTCTCGGCCACAACGACACCTTGCTATGGCTGGTTTTATAGTAGCCTAGAACTAGGCCAGGAGGGTATCGCATCTCATAGACCTACGAGGATAACTGGATGCACATGTCCGATCCGGTGGGCTGCCTTCGTGCTCCAGTATGTGGAGGGGTAGAGAACCCGGCCTGACGTATCACAGCCAATAGCAGAGCTCCTACATCTCCTAACCTCACCGATCAATTCTTCCCACCTTAGAGCAGGGGGCGAATGTGTGGCCTTTAAACTTGACATCAATGACTTGTCCCCAAAAATACGGCATATGAGATCTCACGTCTATGATAATTTACCCCGAAATAGTCAGCGTGCGCTGTGAGGACAACATGATATCTACAAAGCTAGTGTTGTGTACAACCTTAAGGGCCTGTTCACCCCATATGCATTGCGTTCCGGCCACAACGCACTGCATCGCATTGCGGCGGGCTCAGTATTTCGTGGGCCGGAGGGTGGCGTGGCTGGCCATTGAAGTGAGTGGCGCCGTAGCCACGCCCTCCAGGCAAAATAGTGCTTGCAGCATTTTGACCGCACCGGACCAGACCGCAGGCTCAATGTGCCCTGCGATCCCGTGAGGGCAATCACATTGCGGCCGGTGGGCGTGGCTACGGCGCCATTCACTTCAATGGCCAGCCACGTCCCCTCCGGCCCCGCACAATATCCTGATCCGGCCGCAATGCGATGCAGTGCGCTATGGCCGGAACGCACCGCACATGGCCCTGAAGCCAATTTTTCAATTTTGGATAGAGTAAGGGACGGTTATATATTTTGGACCAATTCTGTAGAAGTTAGGAGCCAGTAGCACATTTTAAGAGCCAGCAGCCATTTAAAGGGCCATGCCATCATAAGAACTGAATCTGATGTGATGGTTGGGCAAGTTAGCACAAATGTTGAGTGGTCAAAGACCAGTCTTAAAGCCACTTTAACATAATACAGGACCTTCTTTTATTGCTTTCAGAACAGAAGCACAGCTTTGTTCAGTAATAACACAAGGTCCGCTTGTATCTCAGCAAACAGAATGTATCACATAATCGTACCGCCTCCAGATGGTCACACATACTCCATGTGTCCCAGCCCCTCGACGTTAAGGCTTTCCTTAACAGAGCTACAGTCCACAGCTGTGCTCAATACAGGTTAGTATCTCTCCATAGCTTTAACACCTCTTGTGCGACTCTTACACACATCCCACGGGTGTCACAGGCTCTAAGCCTCCTCGGCTGTCTTCCATGTGCCTCCAGCCACCTGGCCTCCCCTTTGAGTTCTGGGTGGAGTCCTTCTGACTCCTAACCACAATCTGTTCCTCTTTCCCAGCTGGAGCCCTAAACATTAGCCAGCACCGCTTCCATAAGGGCTATGCACAGGTGTGCATTCATCAGGTGCTGGCCCCGACCAAACCGCAGGAATAGAGATTTAATCTCCCGGTTCCAGGATCCAATGCCAAATCCAGAAAACCCGGGAGAACTGCAAAGTCAGCACTTTCCCAGTAAAATAACTTTTACTTCCTGGAACCGCTCAGCACCTCTGGCTGCGAGTCCTAGTGACTACAACAACCAGTTCTACCGTGGGATTGCCACACAATACCAGACTGGATAGAAGTGGAGTCTGGCAGTATCATACTTTGCTGGTATCAGTTCTCCCCCCTCAGCAGGGACAAATGACCTCAGTGATCTCTCCAATAGAAAAAAACTTTGTACTTTGACTTCCTGTCTCCTGGAATGGATGTGGACCTGTAATAATATTGGTGTGTGATTGTGGTGGGGTCATTAGATTGTAAGCTCTGCTGTCATAGGCATTTATATTCAGTATAAAGAGTTGTAACATACATGGTCACCAGGGGCCCCATAGCAACATTTTGTATGGGGCCCCCGTGATTGCTAGTTATGCCACTTGCAGAGCCCACCTGATATACCAAACAGCCCACCTGAGAGTGACCCTGCGGAGCCCACCATAGACTCTCTATGGTGGGCTCTGCAGGGTCTCAGATGGGCTGCACACCTCTTACCTGTCAGCGCTGTCCACCTCCGTGGTCGCCGGGCCCCGCCTCCTCTTCCGGGCCCTGCCTCCTCTTCTATCGACGGGCCCAGCCTGCTCTTAGGTCGCTGGCCAGTGATGTAAGAGGAGGCGGGGTTGCTCTTAGACGGGCCCCGCCTCCTCCTTCACTGCGAACGCCGGCCTCTTCTGCCGCAGCTGCTGGCTGCCACTAACACAGCTCCACAGCGGCTGTGAGGGGAAACGCGCCGTGGCCGCTGCACACATCACTGACAGGTTGTCAGGGATCTTCACAGCCGCTGCTGAGCTGTGTCAGTGACAGCAAGCACCTTTACATGCCATAGCGGCCCACAGGGCATCAGAGGGATGCCCTGGCCGGGCCACTCTGTGCCCGGGCCCCATAGCAGCCGCCTGGGTCACTATGGCGATTGTTACGCCACCGATGGTCACTGTATACATGGAGTAAGTAAAATGGAAACTGTAACATTTGTCAGGTTTGTAACATTTCCTTTCATCTGTCATTGGCTGATGTCTTTATTTTCCTTTGTTACAGTTACAGACGTTTAACACCAGCGCCCCATGTAAGACGATCGAAGACCTTAGCCGTGGCATGGCCATGGCGCAAGTACTTCACCAAATGTAAGTTACCCCCCCACCCCCTGATTACCATTGCCCCCATTATTCTTATCATTTCCAGCACTACTTTGGGCACTATTTATAAAGGTTCTAGTGGAAAATTCACCCAGTAAATCCTTTAGTGTTATTCACCCAAGCAACATTTTATTGCATTCACTACAGTCACATTCACCCCGTTTACGGTAGGATGAATGGGCAGCTGGACCTCATAGCAGCCATTGAACATCCATCAAATGTCTTGTAGATAACAGGAGCTCTCCATAGTGCTGAAACTATATATACAATGATTCAGCGCTAGGAGGGTTAACTGTCACTTTTTTTTATATGTGGGGGGGGAAAAAACACACGCCCCTCCCCCTCCTAGAGCTGACCAAGGCATGTGGTCTGTTATCAGGCTTATAACCCTCCTGCTGTATAGCTACTAACCTGCATGTCCTTTTTCATCGGGGCATACTTTGGGAGGAGTTCCCCCATAAAGACAGAATCCCTCTTCCCAAGCATTGGCACCCTAGTGGTGACAGGTACCAGGCTATTCAACACTCCTGGTGCTCAGGTAGGGGTGTTGGCAAGGGGAGTTGTTTAATATGCCGTTCAACATTGAGGGGGGGGGTGGTTTTG